AAGAGTTGGGAAGGACCTCGGAGGTCATCTAGTCCAACCCCCTGCACTGTCAGGCAGGAGGCCTGGGGTATCTTAAGTTTTGAGGGGCTTCTGTGCCAAAAATGGCACACACCCTCAAATGTGCCAGCACCCAGAATGCAATGCGCCCCCTCCCCGTGAACCCCGTGCATGCACGTGCGACCCCCCGTTCCTGCCACCCCCTTACTACACTGTAACTCACTGCTGGTTTTGGGGGGCTGGTTTGAGGCCTTTTTGTTCAGCTTCTCAGATGCTTGGAAAAAGCCTCTGCAAGGCTTTTCAGGACGAATAATAGGCCCGTTTTGTCACTTCCGGTATTACAGGAAGTGACAAAATGGGCCTATTTCACCCTCCAGGAGGCCGAAAAAGGCCTCAAGCCAGCTGCAAAATCAGCTGTGAGGCGCAAGCATGCGCAGTGAGGTAAGTTTGCCTGTGGCTCAAACGGCTCTTGCGTGCCACAGGTTCACCATCATGGTCCTATACCGTTCCGGACAAACGGCTGTCTGGTTTCTCCTTAAAAGCCTCCAGTGTTGGAGCACCCACACAACTTCTGGTGGCAAGCAGTTCCACTGGTTAATTGTCCTCCCTGTTAGGAAATTCCTCCTTCGCTCCAGGTTGCTTCTCTCCTTGATCAGTTTCCATCCGTTATTCCTTGTCTGGCCTTCAGGCGCTTTGGAGAAGCGACAAGAGTTGAAAGGGACCTTGGGGGTCATCTAGTCCAGCCCCCTGTTCAGGCAGGAAACTCTACCTATTCCGTTCCAAACAAATGGTGGTCCAATCTCTTAAAAACCTCCAGTGCTGGAGAAGACAAAGCTGTTCACCTCTGGTTGAATTGTCCTCCCCGTTAAGAAGTTTCTCCTTAATTTTACGTTGCTTCTCTCCTTGGTTAGTTTCCACCCGTAGCTTCTCGTCCAGCCTTCGAATTCCTTTGAATCCCTTTTAGAAGACCTGTCACTTTTAGAAGAAAAACAGCAAAGAAAATAGCCTGGTTCCCCCAAATATAAATAGCCAATAATGCAAATATAAACATAAAAGAAATTTCCTCATGGGTGAGAGCAATCAGCCAATGGAACAGCTTGCTTTCGAGACTGTTAATTTAAATTTCTCAACAGACAATCAGTTGGAAGGGTCCTTGTTAGGTCATCTAGTCCAACCCCCCGCCCAAGCGGGAGACCCTACACCATTTCTGACCGAGGGCAGTCCAGTCTCTTCTTGAAAGCCTCCAGGGATGAAGCTCCCACAACTTCCGAGGGCCACTTCTGTTCCACGGGTTGATTGTTCTCCCTGTCAGAAAGTTTCTCCTTATTTCCAGGTTATTTCCTTATTTCAACGCTGGACGAGCATCGGTCTGAACTAGAGTCTCCTGCTTGACCAGGGGGTTGGACTAGAAGACCTCTAAGCCCCTTTCTAGCTTTATTATGCGATGTTTCTATTGCATGGAGGATAGCCTTGACCGCCTATCCTTTGTAGCAAGCCCCTTCAACTATTGGAAGACTGCTATCCTGCCTCCCCTGGTTCTTCTTTTCATTAAAGTAGACCTACCCAATCCCTGCCATTGTTCTTTGTGTATGTTTTAGCCTCCAGTTCCCTAACCACCAATTGATCCTCATTCTGGATCCTGGTTTCTTTCTTTTTTTTTGTTTTTTTCTCATTGGGTTCGCAAGGGTTGTATATCTGCGCGTCCTAACTGACCCTCTGCCCAATTCCTCCTGCCTCTCCTCCCCTTGCCCAGTTGTGGAGCGCAGTTCTCCGGTGCTCGCGTGGGCGAGCGAGAGATCACGATGATGAAGAACCGGCTGATTAATTCTTCTTTTTTTTTTTTTTAACCAGTGCTTTTTAAAGAGAGTTGGAAGCAGAATTGTTGATGAACTGCAGTAATTCAGGTTTTTAATTTTCTTTTTCTTTTTTTTGTGTATGTTTGTTTGAGAGGGTGGGGGGGAAAACCTTCTAGACATGCCAATTAAGTCCGTTCTTCTCCGAAAACCTTTAAAAGCAGCTTTCGTTGGGGCGTAAAGCATGAAGTGGATGTTTTGGAGAACAACCAAGGGAGTGCCAGCTTCATAAATATATCTATCTGTCTGTCTGTCTGTCTGTCTGTCTGTCTGTCTGTCTGTCTGTCTGTCTATCTATCTATCTATCTATCTATCTATCTATCTATCTATCTATCTATCTATCTATCTATCTATCCCTGGCAGCAGAGGTCCCCAACCGTGGCAACTTTTAAGCCTGGCAGACTTCAATTCCCAGAATTCTTTGCTGTCTGGGGAATTCTGGGAGTTGAAGTCCGCAAAGCTGGCTGGGGAATTCTGGGAGTTGAAGTCCGCAAAGCTGGCTGGGGAATTCTGGGAGTTGAAGTCCGCAAAGCTGTCTGGGGAATTCTGGGAGTTGAAGTCAAGTTTGCCCGGTAAGGAGTGAGTGGGCAGGTTTTTTTTTCCTGCGGTCCATGTGGGCAGCACAGCCTTTGCGTTCCTGCACAGCCTGGATTCATTGCTTTGGGCGACGGGGTGAGATTTCTCTGCGTTCCACCTAAATTTTCTCTCGGCCCACCGGTTGGCGAGGCTGGACTAGAAGACCTCCAGGGTCCTTTCCGACCCTGTTATTCTGTTCTTTATTCCTGGAAGGCTCTGGTGGGCATCCGGCCATCCCATCTCATTCACAGGGCAGAGTGAATGAGCCACGCCCGCCTGCCTCTCCGTCTTGAAGAAGAAAGAAAGAAAAACCACCTAATTTTTCTTCCTTCAGCTTCCAACTTGCACGCACACGCACACCACCGTTGCCCCGGGGATACCGGTCCCACATTTGTGGGGCTGCTGCGTTTTGCTTTGCGTTGCAACTCGTCCTGTCTTTTGTGTAAGAAGGGCTTGCACCAACCAGCCACAGGGTTTCTGGGAAGGACATTTGACAGATAACAACACTGGGTTTTTTAATCTACCTGTGCCGGAAGGCCAGCGGGCCGAGATTAATTGTAATTCTGGCTTGTGCAATTAAAACAGGGATCAGATTAGCTGTTCGAGGAAGATCGCACTCAGAATTTGGAGCAGCCTAAATATGAGATATAGGTGCCTTTTGCGATCCGGTCCCTGGTGGCCTTGTTGGGTTGGTTTTTTTTCTTTTTTTAAGCAAATCAGCCTTTTGCAAAGGGTGTTGGCAGAACATGATTTGCTTAAATACGCGCTGCTTGCAAGCTGCCAAAAAGGCCCACACAGTCCTAGGCTGCATGATAACAGGGAGGGAGAATCAAGATCCAGGTGAAGTGTTAATATTGCTTTGTTAGTGCTGATGATATAACACATAACAGATCATCAGAGTTGGAAGGGACCTTATAGGTCATCTAGTCC